GGGGAACATGTCGGCCGACAATACCCCAGTCTATGAGTATTTGGAGGAGGTTATGAGCTTCGCAGCGGCGGTGTCTTCATCTTTGGATGTTCCACTTTGGAGTTCTTACCATGCATTACAGCAGGAGGCTAATAGGTTGATGAAGAAGTGTTGTAGTGAGACCTCTTTACCAACACAGGTAGAGAGGGCTTTAGATGATAGGCTAGTTTGTGATCCTAGCACGCTATTCCCATTGGTTGCTACCCCAATTTAATGGTAGTATTCCCTAGAGGCTGTTTGTTTAATGGATCTTTTTGGTGGGATCAACACAGGTTTGGCTGTAGTGTTGCAGTCAAGTATTCTCGTACAGAGATACTTGTATGTGGAGAAGGATGAGTTAGCGCATCGAGTTTCTTCACGACATATTGCATAATTGATGTAGCGTTTTCCTTCATTGTTGCCACGATCAGCTCTTTGATGATACCAAAAGGCGTTGTATTGTTGGAGGCGCCAGACCTCGATCGATATATTGATTTGGTGATTGCGGGATGGCCATGTCAAGGGCACACACGCGGTGGTCATGAAGAAGGGTTGCATGACCCTAAATCTCGGATGTTTTGGGAGATGTTGCGAGTGTTACGTCATCTTCAGGGGCAGCAAACACGTTCTCTAGCATACATTCTAAAAAACGTGCCATTGTTAGGCGACACTCGGACCTAATTGATGGCAAGTGCCCATGAGGTCAGAGCATGGATTGGATCAGCCGTATTGTTGAATGCTACGAGGATTGGATCACGTGCTTATCGTGCACGTTTATGGTGGACCAACGTTTTGCCACGAAAGATATTGCGTCATGCATATGATTCTATGCATCGTGATCATACACTCATCGTTGATAGGATCTTGAATGTTTCTCGATATTCTCAGGTGGTGAAAGTTGTTGACTGGTCACCTATGGCGTTGGTGAACCGCGTAGGTCAGCCTCGCATGGATGGCTTTACCTATGTTGGTTAGTTATCCGGCATCACATGCATATTGTGATGGTTGACCTGGGCTACTTTGGGATTCTACAGTATATCAGTTGATGGAGCCCAACACTGATGAAAGAGAGAGTGCGATGGGATTTATGACTGGTGTGACAGCGACTTCTTTTGTTTCAAAGGCGTCACGTCGTCAGGTTTTAAATTAGACTATGGACCTGAACTACTTGACGTGAATTGTGAGCTTGGATTTGGCCAAGCGGCGCCATCTGCGTGTTGATTTGATAGTTGCTACATCACTTGTTAGACCATTGCTCACCGGGATGGTAGTGGCAATGGCTGGGGGCGAAAGGCGAAATATTTATCATCCTTGGAGTTCATGGGACATGACGAGAGTACTTGCTAGAGTTGCAGCTCATGCAGTTGGAGATGTTTCTCATGTGGAGGTGGCTACAAAGGAGGGTGCGAAGAACTCTTCTTTGGAGGATGTGGCATAGCAACCATTGATAGTATCGCCTCCCTCTAGTGTGTCAATGGAGGAGAAATGGTATCCATTGATAGGTTTTCAAATCACAGCAGGAGAGAGACTACGGTTGACACAATTTCTACGAGACTATAAGAGTTGTTTTGCCTTGAGTATGAAGGAGTTGGGTGCGTTAATTGGACCTGACATACAGATAGAGTTGGCTAGTGATACGCCAATCTTCCATCATCCCTATCGATATAGTGATGTGGAAAGTTACTTGATTCGGAGTCGGACGTTGGAGTTACTTGAGGTAGGGTTAGTGAGGTTGTCGCATGATGAGTATGCTTAAGTCACTGTCATGACGATGAAGAAGAATGTACATGACAATTACACGGATAGGCGAATGTGTGGAGACTATTGTCCTATCAATCGGCAGACGAAGTCCAATGCCTACACCTAAGAAGATCTTCAATATGGTGGGACATGCGAGGATTTTTAGTACTTTGGATCTTCAGGCACAATACCATCAGTTTCTGATTCGGGAGTAGAACAAGGTCAATAAAGCGTTTTGGGGCGTCAACTTCCGCGGAAAGGATTGCTTGTATCAGTAACGATTCTTACCCTTTGGGTTAAAGAATGCACTTGCCGAGTTTCAGAGAATTAGTCATAGATCTTAGCGGGGCTGGATATTGTCAGATGTTACATTGATGATATCTTAGTGTTTAGCAACACAATGGAGCAACACGAGATATATTTGCAGATTGTGCTTAAGCGGTTGAGGGCTCACGGTTTGGGGTTACATCATGGAAAGTGTAAATTCTTCCAGGAGAGTGTTGAGAACTTGGGTCATGTGATCTACCTAGGTGGTTTGGGAGTATGTGAATAAAGTATGTGCATTCATGGGTTTGGCGAACTATTACCGGAGGTATATGAAGGGATTCAGTGCTATACCAAAGCCTTTGAATCAGTTGCTAAAATCGGATAAGGAGAGGCAATGGTTCAAAGCCAAGTTGGTGGCCGCTCCCATCTTGAAGAGACCTATCAGAGGTCGTCCATACCAATTGCACATTGATGAATATGTTGGACATTGGAGCGGTGTTGATGTAGTGTGATGATGAGGGCAAAGAGTTTGTGCTTGCGTATGCTAGTCATTCGAACAATGTAGCAGAGTTGAGGTATAGTTTGTACAAGTAAGAGTGTTTAGCAGTGGTATGGGCTGTGGCACACTTCAGCTGTTACCTGTTTGGTACGCAGTTTATCCTTGTTAATGATCATAAGCCACTCAAGTGGTTGATGGAGTCCAACAAGCTTACAGGGAAGCTTGCATGGTGAACTCTCATCTTACAAGAGTATGACTTTCACGTGATGCATCGACCTAGAGTTGCTAACTTGGATGCTGATGGTTTGAGTCGGATCCCATGCACTAGATAAGAGGATGACAATGGAGTTAGATAGCATGGTGAGGTTGATGAGGAGATGATGTCCGGTTGGCATGCATCTGCCCTCATGTGTTGGTTACGTGGAGCCTCTAGCAAGTAGGACCACTTGACATCTTACTGTAGTCAGAGAGTGCATAGTCAATCTTTGGATACCGAGGTTGAGGATGGTGATATGAATCAACGTGATGTTCACGATGATGCGTTGGTGTTGGAGTTCCTAAGGACAAGCATGGTGTCAAGCACAGTGGGTGCCAAGAAGCAAGATATTGTTCTTCAGCGAGCGAAGAGATACATATTGGAGGGATCACATGTTCTCCAAATGTGGGAGTATGGTAGGGTACAAGTAGTATCGCATCCAGCTCAGAGAGCACGCATTGTAAGGCATGTTCATGAGAAGTTGGGACATTTTAGAGTGAAGCGTACATATTACTTACTCCTTGGTCAGTATTGGTGGCGTGATATACATACGCAAGTACGGCAGTTAGTATCACGTTGCATGATTTGTGATTGAGTGAGGGCATCGTTCAATGCGCCAACAAGTGAGTTACATTTTTTACCTATCATGGGATTGGGTTTCCGTTGGAGTTTGAACTTTGCTGGATCATTGTCTTTGACTGTGCGACATCATTAGTATGTGTTGGTGACGGTGTAACTTTTTCCAAGTGGATTGAGTTGGTGGCATTACCTGACAAGGCGAGTGAGAAAGTAGCGTATGCTTTTCTTGATAGGGTGCTTAGTCACTTTGGTGTACCAACTGAGATGTTGATCGATCAAGAAACAGAGTTTCAGGTCTTATGTGACAAGACGCTATTTATCTTATACTTATTGATCACCGGACCACGTTTCAAGATCATCAAGAGGCAGATGGTTTGGTTGAATGTGTTGTAAACACAGCGAAGAAAGCGTTGCGCAAGTATTGCCTACAGAAGGGACATCTTGAGTACTAGGATATTCAGTTATCATGGTTGGCCATGTGATATCGATTTAGTTGTCAAACATCCTTGGCTTTGTTCTCATCATATTTTCTATTGTACGGCCGAGACCTAGACTTGCCGGTAGCAATTCGTCGTGAGTCTAGTGAGGTGGTGAACTTTGATGACCCAAACATGTGGATGAGAGTGTGTTCTCAATATGCAGCGCTCTTTCGGAGAGTTATGCCAGCAGCATTTGAGAACCTTGCGATTGCTCAGCATAGGGATACGTTGCGGTATGCAACTATCCAGGAAGAAGATTATCGATCATCGTTTTGTAGATTCAGTGTGGAAGACTACGTCTATTTACAACAGACTGCTCTTACTACATTAAATGTGACGACGAGACGTACGATCTTGCGAGTGCGGGAGGTTTTACCTTATGGAATTCTCATGTTAAAAGGTCGTGACGGTGTCGTTTGGAAGTATCATGTGCGCAAAGTGCGAGGGACCTAACCGCCAGCTAGGGAGGCGAGTTGTGATACTTTTGTGTGTGTACACTCTCGTTCCTTTATGTATGTATGTGTGAGTGGGTGAGTAGAGCATGTGAGCGATGCATGATGTATGGCGATATAGATTTGCACGACAAAGATCAACCACAAAATACGCTGATGTTTTTTGTGTTGTTGACTATTTATACACTAAGTTTTTCACTTTTATGTTAATATTTTGCATTGAACAACATAATACATTAAAGTCAGTATTTTTGATAATCAGATAAAAAAAACCTTTTACCACTTTTTGTCAAATATCATATATCTCAAAATAATTTTTTTAAGATTCATGTTATGACAATAGCTAGTATATTGATAAGTACTTTTTTTTGTTTTTCTAGCTATCTTCATAACATGTATCTCTAAATATTTACTTAGGGTGATTTTCTAAGTTAAGGTTCTTAATATGTGGATATGAACAAATCAAGCTAAGGGAAGACTTTGCATTTCTTGACACTTATGTAGGTTTGGCTAGATGTGATATGCATTATATGCTATGGATAATAGAGGAATGTGTTGTATAGATTTCTAGAATATATTGTATTATTGTGTTGGTATATGAAAATATAGTTACTCAGATGTCACATATTACATCTATGTATCTTGTGACTTCTGCTAGATGGGTATTCTCACCTTTTTCTTATCCATTTGGCACCCTTTCCATGTATATATAGTGACGAGAAATGCATTAGATAAGAACTTCTCTTGTGTAAGTTTACAATCCTTGAAAATTCACAGGAATTGTAAATCAAAAGTTACAAGACGAACAATGGGGTGGAATCAACGGCGGGATCTTGTATTACGGGATCGATAGTGACCACGTCATCCTTCCGTGGGAACTGTGGTTGGAATGGGGTGGCAACCTGGTAGCTATACAACACAAACCGTGACGTAGTTCTCAACCCCTTTGAGAAGACAGGGAACGGTGATGACTTTGATGATCCTCTCTCTCTACCTGGTGACGTTTTTAACTCGGTTCCCTAACTCGCTGTACGAGGTACGATCTTTGGGCTAACGCGAGCTCGGAAGTGAAGACTGTCCGAGCAAACGTCCAACTATCCTCAGACCCGATTGGACTCGACTGAACCTAACTCACGGTTAGGAGTTTACCCGCCGCTTTCCAACCCGGGGCGGTTGGGACGGCCCTGATGGGAGCCCTGGCCAGAGTGATCTTGGCGACGGGGAGAGCAAGCGCGACGTCGTCAGGCACGAAAGCCGCGACGCGCGAGTCGCCGGTCGTCGGCGTGCTCGCCACGTCGTAGGCCAGGAAGACGAGCATCTCAAACTCGTTGTAGTTGTCGCGCAGCGCGAGGCAGAAGGGCTCGGCGTCGCGGCACTGCAGGCCGAAGCCCGGCGCGGAAAACTTGTGCAGAGCCGGAAACGACTTGAGGCCGCTCCGCAGGATGGCGTCGTAGTCGCCGGCTCTGGTGCCGAGGAAGACGTGCCGCACCAGCGCCTTGGTGCGGGCCGGCCCAACGGACTCGACGTCCGGCTCTCGAGCGTACCTGATGATTCTCAGGAGCTGACCTGCACAGGGACACGCGGCGCACGCACTCGACTTAGCCGCTGGAGCCGCTGCCGGAATGGATGCATGCGGATGCCGCAAAGCCTTTTACGACGGCATTCGGAGGTTCAGAGAAGAACATCACCGCAATGGTCAGGAACTTTGACGGCCATCGTCTCGAAGGTGGTCAGGAACCGGTCCAGCATGCCCCTTCCGGCGCCCTTCAGATGCTCGTTGAATTCCACGGCCACGAGCTCGAATGGCGCAGCTTTCGAGCCCACGAGCAGCTTCGTGTACTCGGCGCTGACGAGCTTGTGCACCGCCTCCTCCACCAGAAACTGCACGCAAACCCCGAGAATTCCCAAGTCAACTTCCTCCCCAAGTCTCGACGAGACACCGAATCCCCTGTCTCTGGAATCACTTCGATCCGGAGATGTGAGCAATGTCGTTAGACTGAACAATTAGATCAAATTCGACACGAGGGCGAGTATGCTCGAGGTGGATGACAACTCACTGAGCGTACAGAAATCGGCGTCAGTCTTTGGCAATCGGAAGCCCTTGTAGACAATCGGGTGCTGCTGTCGTCCGACAGGACGGCGTTCGGAACCTGGTGACAGAGAGATAGAGAGACAGTGAGGTGGGAAGTACTAGCTTGGGAATTGAGCCGCAGTTGCTTTGCTACTGTGCATAAGGCAGAAGTGAGTCGAGGAAGGCGCTTTCTTACGATGCGGATGCCTCTCTTGCGGCCTGTCTGAATGTTGATTTGGTGCATCTTCTTCGGCTTGTACGCGTAACTCGCACCTTGGGGCCATTTGTCCGAATTGATCTTGCCCAGGAAGACGAGGTAATCGCTGGTGTTCCACGTTGACAGGATGGTGTTGACATGCTCCTTGTTCTCGTACGGGTGCCACATCCCGTCATCGTTCTCCCAGTACACTCCGCTTTCTACAGGATTGTAGCTCGGCTTCGGCCCACACGAAGAAGGAAGGTGTCAGTGCAGTGCACTTTGCAATTGAACCCTAAACCCTGAAAACTGTGAGCATTCATTGTCATGCCACACAGACTGGCATACATAAACCCCCGATTAGACCTCTCCTTCTTGTACAGACGATAGAGCAGATTCAGATTCTTCCTGATCTTTGGTGTGTAAGCAATTTCTCACAGCGTAACTCGACTCTCATGGTGTAATTATATACTCGCTGAACTGTCTCAGTCAACAACGGAGAAGTGATCTGCTGGCTTGAATCCAGTCTTTCTGAATTAATTGCAGGACGTAAGAAAGTGCTCGAAGACCTTTCACACAGCACTTCACGTTGTTCTGCCAAACCCGAATCTCAAATTACGCGAGAGTTCATGTCATGTCACGTCGATGCTATGCGGTATGCAATTTAAAGCCATGTTCCATGAGTGAGTGCAGACACGAAGGCGAGAGCAGGGATCCACGAGGAGCTTACTGTATGATTGATCTCCGTTAGTGCACAGGTCTCGATCCGGATCTGTTTCTCCGTCGTGGAGATCTGTGTGCCGGCTGTGGTCGTCTTCAAGTACATAGCCTCAGATTTCCCTTCTGTTCTTCGTAGAGATCCTTTCGCCTTGCCGAGCTCCAATTCAGCTCTACCCACCGAGTAGGCAGTGAAAATGGCTTCTGCCTCGGCCGGGGGAAAGGAGCGCCATACGCCCTGCTTGTCATCGAACTGCCACACGCCGACATGGTCTGGGCCAGACACACTGGATGATTCCTCTGAGCCAGGATTGATTACCTCCCCGGGGCTAGAGTCACTGCGTTCACTCACCTCTCTTTCGTCCTTCAATCCGACTGCCAAAACCTTGCTCATGCTTGCTCTCAAACACTAGAGCGCACAAATCTACAATGACAAGAGCAGAATCGTTCACTTACCCAGAGCTGTCCGGGGACGTTGGCGCTCTACTGTCTCTGTACTGCCATCGCTATGCACCGTGGCAGATTTCGCTCTCCGGATGCAACAGATGTGCTCTTGAGCATCTGGGCATATCTTTCTGCAGGAGTTTCATCCCACATTGCTCGAAAGGATCAGCTACACGTGATCGAAGAAATTTTTGTCCAAATAATGTCAGTCTCTTTGATCGCTGCTGGTCGCGGTCACTGGCTATGCTTTGAACTTGGCAGTGAAAAATTCGAGCTCATACGAACTACAGATCTGGATTCACGCATTCAAAGAGCGAGCAGAGCAGAGCAGCACGTCCCCTTGTCCTGACGCATTAGATGGGTCGTAAAAGAACATGGGAAGCACGATAGGTAATAAGGAATTAATTAAACTTTTTTATTAGTTTAGAACTTTGATACTTAGTGCCGCTCTTGATGTTCAAGTAAAGTTCACAGAACCTGTATTTACGATTATCGTGTTGCACTCTTATTATTCGGTCTTCGAAGTCTGTCTGCATCTGCATTGCGTTCTTGGTTCTAAATTCTCACTTGATGAGTTATTTTCGTGATATTTATCCCATACAGTATAAGGGCACGGCATGACAAGTATTCAGATGTCATCAGATGCTTCGTTTTCTTTCTCATTGAAACTGTACAAATTCTGCAACTGTCCAGTCGGTTCAGATGACTTCTATTGGCATCAACCATTGCCGCTGGAGTTCGGTTTTCTTCAATTTTGCCACTCTGAATAAACCCCATGGACGGTGACGTGTAACCAGCTGAGCAGGATGCGGTGCGAGCCGCTTGAGGCCCTTTGAAGGTCTCAAAGCTATTCATCGACGTGCCCGTTTCAAGCTCTGTTTTAGAGTTCGGACTCTGGAGCTCGACACCTGCCTCAGCACTTGGGCTGCGCCCAAAGGCTGGTCTTGTGGTTGAACATGTCAGAAGCTGGACGTGTCGGCTGTCTAACTCGCCGTCTGCAGTAGGGAGATATCGTGCTGCATAATCTGCGTAACAGTGAGTATGTCGAGCTGACAACGGACCCTCCCTTCATGTGAAGACTTATTTAGGTTCTAATATGCCAGCATCTAATATGGCTGTGCGACTCGGAAAAGGTCAAGAGGACGGAGGACCTGTTAGTTTGAGTCGCGTTGTACCAGTTGGAAGATCGTCTGATAATCTGACAAACAGGACATAGCTGTGCTTTTCGCATCTTGAGCTTGTTAGGCTCCCAAGGCAACTGTGATTTGATGTGATGGTCAAACTTGATAAGGCTGAGATCCACGGATGTGATGTGATAAGAGCGCCTTTCCTCTTCCTTCCTGCTTCTGTCTGTCCGTGGCACAGTACAGTAATCGCCATGATCGGGAAAAGAGTGCAGTACGTTTTTGCCAAGTGCTTACCGACAGTAGGTCCAGATGTCGGTTTGGCGCGGCACATCATCAGAAAAAGCATAATTCTGAAGGTACAGGTATCCAGAAATTCCGGGCAGTTACTCTAACTCCTTCAGTTGATGTTGATGTTTCACCTCCGATTCCGAAAATGTTCCTACCCCACGAGCCACGACATACATGAGAGGTAGGGGAGCTGTTCAGACGAGGTTTATCACCTCATGGATGTGGTAGAACTTTACGGAGTCATATGAATGCCTAGGGCATCATTGCCAGGAGAATCGGATTGATTGTTTCATGTGCGTTTCTCTTTCAATCAGTATGATTGAAACTCGATCCGTAGTTTCCTGGAGGCTGGAGCATTCGTGTGTGGTGTAACGCTAGCGAGAAAAAATGAAACGAATTCTTCTGCATCTGCTCAGAGTTCCGCCTGAATGCCGGAGAATTCACACCACGACTGTAGCTCAGTGACGTCGTCGAGTGGAACACAAGCTACTGTACAGTATTGCACTGGATTGCACTTACGACTCAGTAGTATACGTTAGTCAAAGTTTTGGTTGGTGAAGATAACGTTCGTGAAGTAGTTGCGATGGTGATGTACGATATAAACAGCACGAGTGCCAGGCAGGCTTCGAAGCTGGATCGATCTGTAACAAAGTCTGTTTACTGTACAGCACGCACGGGCGAATGGATAACTGAATTCCACCGGAATCAACAGATGTCATACATGATTACGGTTCATGACGATTTCCAACTCGACAGTTTGCAAAAAGATAGGGCTCGCTCTGGTGGATGACGTCGATTTTTGTACTGCAAGTTGGAGCTTGTGCATATGTCCTCAGACGCATTTCCATGATCGATAGACCAGGCCGTTAAAATAATGAATTATCCTCCTGCGTACTCTACCAAGTCGAACGAAGTTCGTTTGGTTTGTTATCATAACATGCCTAGTCAAAGGTTGGGGTCACATTAGTGTCCAGACTATCATTTCTGTACTGTAGGTACAGTACTCGTAATCCGTTACGCAGAAGACAGTAGAATCTCGTGATCTGCTACAGATGAGTGCAACCTCATTTGTTTTATCTCAGCTCATCTTGTCATGGCATGGAAGACAGCCTCAAACGTCCCAGGACAACGACACTTGTTGTAAGTCGTTCTCGCCACAAGTGTGTTCGCCATCATCACCTCGTTCGAAGTTAGCGATAAATATCTCGATTGGGTACAGTACTGAACATTCTTATCGAAGAGCATGCTTTTGGAGTACGGTATGATTTACTGGCACCATCTTCGAGCTACTTTCCCAGTTTCATTCCTTATTTTAGTAAGTGCACCACGAGGTTCGAGAGAGATGCCAATTGTTATATCACATGTGCATCCTTTACGTCATCTTGAAGGTTTTCTTCCTGTAGCAAGGGAGGAGTGAGTTGGTCTCCTTTCTGCAGGTGAAAGGGAAGCGAGGAGGGACTGAGGAATAGTGAGAGAGGGAGAGTCGTTGGGAATCGAGAGCGGAGAAGAGAGGAGAAGTCTTCGAAAGATACTTTCGGAAGTATCTGATTGCGCATGTAGGGACATCTGGAAAGTTGTGTCTGCTTTCTGTGGATTCTTGTTTTCATTCTCGTATTCGTAGACGCTTTGTATGTACATCATAACAGCTTTCGCTTTTGGTGTCTTTCCTTCACACTCACGATGACTGACTTGCATCCATTATATAACGACTTGCCGCTTTGAGATGGAGGTCTGTTAAGAAAACCCTTCATAACAGAACTCCAACGTGCACTTGCTGGCAACTTAACAAAAGCCTTTCTCACAAAACTTGCAGTCATTCGGTAGAAACAAATGTGACAGTGCATTTTCTCTTGGTTCACAAACAGCTCATAGACTTTCCCAGGTTAAGACATAACTTTGTATAGCGGTGATCTCTACTGAATGTATACAGTGGAGAGCACCGCATTTCGTAGAAATCTCACACAGAGCTTTACATTTGATAGTTCTTCACGCTCTACATGAGGCTTCTACTATCCTCATGTAGAGGGTGAAGAAACTTGTATGATCGCAGTATTTAACTCGATAGTTTGCGATCTATCCTACCTGACAGTTGTGTAGGATATCCGATCCTCTCATAGCTTGGCAATCCTTCTCTGCTTTACACAAATTTGTCTTCGAGAGAGAAATGTCTGGCATGCATCTGATCTTTTGTCATCTGCTCTAGTGCAGGCTCGATGACATACTGTAAGAAGCTTAGTAAGAAAGTGAAATTTCAAAATGAACGGCCCTTCAAAATTCTTCGTGTGTTGAGTCTGAAGGGTAAGCCTCGCCCTGGTAAAATGTTGGAGTAATGAGGCACAGCAAATCCGGTTAATTAAAGCGCGTAAGGCCCGACATGACGAGGCTCAGGCTGTGTCCTTGCTCTGCTCTGCGCTTCTCTGCTCGTCAGATCTCAGCTGCAACAGCGGCAGCAGAATCAGATTTCTTTTGCTGCCATCCTTGACGAGCCAAAAAGTCCAAAACATGCTCCTTCACTTTATCACGAATTTCCTTGACCTTCTCGGGCGATTTACCCTTGGGATCTTCCAGGGGCCAGTCCTCTCGGACCAACCCTGGGACGTACGGGCAAGCTTCACCACACCCCATGGTGATGAGGAAATTCGCAGTGGACGCCAGCTCTTGAGTCAAAAGCTTGGGCTTCTCCTGCGACATGTCGATGCCGAGCTCGCCCATGGCGACAACGCATTCCGGATGCACTCTCTCGCCCGGCTGCGTTCCAGCTGACACTCCTCGAGCCTGGCTCGGATCTGCCAGCAGATTGAACATGGCGCAAGCCATCTGAGACCTTCCGGCATTGTGGACGCAGGCGAACAGAACTGTCTTCATCGTGACGTCGGATGATGAGAGAGAGGCAGATGGACGACGATGGATCGGTCAACACCACAACAGAATTGAAGGGAAGAGATCGAGGATCTGGCCTCTTACCTCTGAACTCTCTGGACTCTCTGGGCTCTGGAAAGATCTGCTGAACGAGTAAGGGGCCCGGGTATTGAATTTGGATCGACAAGGCTGCCTCGGCACCTCAAACTTGTGTGGATGGATGCCCAACAGGGTCTTGTGGCACGGAAAGGTGAGTGAGCTGTGCTATTTTAAGCCTCTGGTGCACTCGAGAGCGAACTGGAGCTGATAGATCGGCCTCTGGGCACCGGCTTGAGCCGCCCAGCCCGCGCATTTCAAGGGAAAGCGCAAAGTATCCACGGAAAGAGGCTCTGCAATTTCCTGCTCCAGCTTCCGAGGTCGATGGCTGATCATCCATCCATCCATCCCGTATCGGATCGGCGAGGCCGGCAAGTGGCCCGTCGTTTCTCCGACATGACACCCAGGTACAAACAGTGACAAATCTGGTATTCGTGCTTGGAATTTTCTGAATACGAAATGAATATCCTAATATCCAAGTCAACCCCTTCCCAAACGAGTGGTTGGATTCGCCTCGATGTTGTCCTCAGCTGGATTCAGCTTGATGTTCTTGTGGCCTTCCTATGGAACAGGGACGCGACATGTGCTCGTACCACATGTGTTTCCCGGCCTCAGTGGCCCCGTGCCATGCTCGCCCGCTCCATCTCGTCTCCTATATGGTTCCTATCTACGTCAGGTCGAAGTACTTTCAGCTGCTGCTTCAGTCGCTCAGTCCTTCAGTCTCTTCATTCACGTCTTCACTATCTGTGTGATCTGTTTGTCGTGCCGATTGCTTTTCTACTCGTGGAGCTGTTCTGTCACACAAGGAAGCAGAGAGCCAGAAGGTGTTCACAGCAGGAGTGACAGGACAGAGCTTGAATTTTTCCCTCACTGAAGTGGAGTTCTTCGCGTTTCCGTTCACTTCGTCGGTTTTGCAGGCAGACGCTGCACGCAAGGGGGATCTTTACTTTCCACTGCCTTCTGTTAAGGTAGAACGATGGAGGTATAAATCAGGCCTTATTACAAGTGCTGCCTCGGTTTTCCTGTTAAAAGTCCAGTAGTAGACGGAGTACACAATCTCTCTCTCTCAAGTATTGATCTCAAATCTAGTTTCTCGAGACAATTACCGAGAGAGAGAGATTGTGTGCTCCATCTCCTCTCGGACATGCCATATCCTCTGATCGGCGAGCATGTTGAGGCATCCTTCTCGAATCGAACATAAAATCCCGGGCGATCGAAGATAATGTTTCCAGGTATGTGAAATTGGCAAGCGACGATCAGCTAGTTTTGCTGCCATTGTTACCCTGCCAGGATTGAGTGACCTTCATAACAAGTCGGGCAACTTATGGAAGAATGGCTTGTTATGCAGGTTCCGCTAATGTTCGGAAGGTATTCGTGTTTGACCTTTGCTCTCTTGACGCTAACCGTTGCTGTTGTTTTTCTATGGCCTAAAGCTTGAGCCGAGCAGTGGAGCTGTTACATGTGTTTATTTTGGAAAGTGGTGTGACAGGCATGGAAAATTAGTCAGAAATTTGCTCAGAAGATTGTCTTGTCAGTCGGAATACAGGAAATGCTGAATGGGATCCATCCCAATTCTACAAGCTACAAGTAGATTTTCGATTCTTTGTAAGAGCTGGGACTGGTTAATTTATGGTGTATCATGAAGCGAATACATGCCAGAATAGCCCGCAATTGATTGAATCCAACATATCTATGAAATTTTGAGCTCAAACTCCGTGCCAGTGTTGGATTCAATTGAGGTACACGCTTCAAAGTGAACACTTCGAAGTGATCATGTTTGTTTAGATCTGATATCCATGTGGAGGGGAATGGGATGCTTGTAGCAGTCGCAAAAGCAAGTTTTCGGTATATTGGATTGTTTACAATGCTACCACAGCCCAGAGACTAACTACATTTATGGATGAGATTGTGTAAAGCGTCAAGTTTTAGTTGCCTCTTTTGTATCGCTCGTTGGGTACTGCAAAGTCTGCGCACCTGCGAAGTAAGGCGGCTGTGACAATAATGCTAAGAAGACGATCCTGATCATTGGTCAGATATTAGCTGACCTACATCCTGGACGACAACCTCTCAGTCTTCCAAAATCATGTGGTCTGGATCTATAGACGAGCTTGGTCTGAGACTGGGCATTCGTTTTCTTCAGCATGATTTTCTGATGGACTGAGGTTTCTGAACTGGTGTTGTCAGCCACTGAAATATAAGTTGTTTGTGTAGATTTGAACACAACTTTTTATCGTTTTGCAGTGTAAAGTCATTTTCTTACTCTTATAGTGAACATTAAGCTCAATCAATCGAGAATGAAGCGAGCGAGACAAAAGAGTTGAAATTGCGTCAATGGCAGGGTTTCTTAATTGAAGACACTATTTGCTGATATTTCTCGAAACATTCTAGGAAACACTAATTAGTGGAAAACCCCTAACAAATGTGGACCGAAAGCAACAGATTGCTGCATATGTCGCTCGAGAAAAGAAGACAATCATCGAGCTCAAACCAATACGTCGTGGTGAGAATAGAACAATTGAACTACCTTTGTCGCCAATACCGACATACTTAAGAACGTTAGTTTAAATTAACAGCAAAAAAATTTCTTAAACTTTTTGAAAAACGCTCATAATAATTGCCGCCAATACTAATGCACACATTGTAAAACACACTAACAGCTCATAATCACTGAATAAGGTCGATGAATGTTGAATATTGGTTACAATCGTCAAACTCACTGCGTGCAGACCTTTTCCCAGCTGGTTAAACAATGAATTTGAGCTCTTTAAGTCTACACATATTAAAAATTGCATCCCAATGATGCATATAATGAAACTATCTCAACACGTTCGCAAATGTATTTCCAAATTTAGTTATAAACGTGAAAGTATTCAATATCTTACCCTAAAATCAGTATAATACGTCATTGTACATACAAATTTATGGTGGGTACGATCTGAGTGTGAAAAATGAAACTAACTTTACGACTCAAAATTCTTTGAACACTCTACAAACTGGCCAACAACTTTGAATTTTCCATACTACCAATTCTTAGGTGGAGATCTTGAAATTGATCGGATGGTTGAAAAGTTCTTTCTAGAAAAGGACCGTACGGTATTAGGAAAAAATTTGGAATAAAAAAATCTTGCTTGTGTGAAATATCAGAGCGACAAACGGTTATAACTGATCGCGTTAATGTGGCCAACACACAATGTTCAGCGTATTTGCATCCATTGCTGTGTCGGTTAGGGGAATTGGCCATGAGCAGATGATAACAACTTCACTCATCCCGCATATTGCAAGTAGATCGAGCCGCACATTTCCTATATGACTCGTCTTATTGTTGACATAATAACTGACCTCGAGGAATTTACCGGCGTATTTATCTTGCATTGACTTTCGATCCTGACAATTCTCTTATTAAAGTACCCACTTTTTTGATACCAGGCTTTTTGTGTCGTATCCCATGTCCTCTGCTGTCTGGCACAACACTGGGCTTTTGGCAGTTCTTGTAGAAACGATACAAGCATGGAGCTGTGTTTACTCAAACCAATCTTATCTCAGAGGTTCTGAAAATGTATATTTTCACAACTGGTTGGAATTTCTGTCAGAGAGACAGCAGGACGAGAGTTCATGACTATGTGAGAAATACAACAAAAGCTTTCATAAAGTACTGGTTCCATTTCCTTTACTCTGGATTGTAAAATTCCAGTGGAAAGGAAATGGAATCAGTATGAACTAGGTACCTTTCAAGTGCTTTGGAGGGTTGAAGTAGTCATACTCATAACGGAGAGTGAGTGAGAGCCAGTGCTAGTTGTCTTTCCTCGGTACAGAGTTCCGTTGTTCGGAATCTGGTGCGGGTCTTCCTTTTGATGTTCATGTCTCTTTCACTTGCAGGCCTGGATCCTTCTGGATCCCTCTTTCTGTACACCTCCTTCTCAAATGATGAAGCCCTTAGAACCGTCAGACGGGAACTGGTCCAGCAGGGCACATCGGCGAAGTGTAAGCATCGTCGACCAAAATTCGCTACATATTCCGACTCATTAGACAAAAATCATACCTTTGAAAGACACAGTCCAGACGACACATTAAACTCTGCATGAATTTGGGCAAGTCGGTTGAAACATTATGATTTATTCTTCCTTTCTGAGAGAGTTGGTCTTGCGAAACTGTGATGTCTCGTTCTAGACTCAACATAATGGTTAGAAAACACCAGGAAATATTTGAAGTCACCGACAGTGTACGTCCAACGAAGCATGTGTACATGCGAAGTGGGTTCCATTTCAGTCGGTGTTTTACAGTAGCCTTCCAAATCTGTACATGCTTGAACATGCAGAAATCACTCATCAGCCTCCACTTTCGGCTCTACTTGTAGTGAACAATAAGGCTGACTCTCGCGGCTTTAGTGGTTGACGACCTCTTTCAGCACTCATTCTCTTCATGACTAAGTTATCATATCTACTCCTTCAACTGTCGATGTCGAAGCTCAGGGCTGCACTTCTCCCGAAGTCGCAGAGAAGTCAAGCATTCCTAGTAGCTCCCTCTCATTACTTGTCAGAACATCATGCCTCTCCGCCGCTGTCGAAGCCCGAGTCTTGTCTGAGCTACACCGCCTCAGAGCAGGTTGACGAGGGGTTCATTCCTGTCCACCATTTTTTCGACGTATTAAAGTATCGAGCAGACAGACTCTGCAAGACATGCTCTCTTCTGCTCTACTGGCGGGTAACAACGTGGCTTCTCGCGGGATTCAAAGGTGCACTTTAAGCCTGACCTGGCTGCCAGGCACCATCCAAAACTCCGCTCAATGTGAGGTAAAAATTCAATTTCCCTGGAAAAGATCACTGCACTTTGTCTCCAGTCCCGACCTCTTTCAAACCATTCCGAGTCATTTCGTATTCCAGTTCATGTCAGGATCTACGTTCTTGAAACGAAGAGAATGTATCAGAATGTGATTTCTTCTCGTGTCAAGAACGTGGATCATAACGTGAATTGGTTCGCTCTTCAGCCTTGCACCGGGCATCTGTCAAAATTGTCGAAGGAGAGAGAGAGAGAGAGAGAGAGAGAGAGTACTGCAAGGAAGAGGTTCTTCCTAATCCGAGAAGTATTGTCCAACTTTGATTTCAGCCTCGAGATTGAGTTGCGTCTCCTTTCTTCAGTTGTTGAAGGATGCGTCTCGGCACATCCCTCATCTCAACCTGCAAAACAACGAGCACAAGGTGAATCCACACTCCCTACAGATATTCCTCATGTCACTCAGACAACTGAATACCATCTTGCTAGCCATGCTCCATTTCTTCATTCCAGGACTCATCTCACTGTCATGCCGTCCAGCATCTACAACACGTACAACACCTATATCACTTTTTCCGACAATTCAGCATTCCCTCGGCCTACATGCTGTCACCACCTTCCTCAGAAAGGGATAGTAGTTAGGAGAGAATTCGCCATCCGGCGTTTATCACTGGCTGGCTCATGACACACTCTGCTGCTGTAGTCCGACATGTAATCGATGCTCCATAGAGCGGCCTCCCACGACGACTACGTCACGAATGTGTCAAACGATTGGCACGCATGAGGCCTCGAATTCGACTCAGAAAAGGCAGCGCAATGCAGACTGGTGAATTCGGATTCGATATAACTAGCCTCTCGGAGCCGATACAGACTCATTATGACAGCTCGCTCGGCGGCTCCAGTCATATCTCACCCAAGCTCGTAACGTAGGTCACTGACTCGACGAGTGAACTCTCTGAAGGACACCAGCCGTCCCTGCCTCTCAGACCATCTCATGCAACGATGGACCCATCTCATGATTCTCACAGCCCACTGCTCTATTCTATCCTGTGGCACATTGCTGCTCCATAGATTAGCCTTAGGAAGGTGTCATGACGTCGTATCGGCAATCCATAGATCGTGGCGGGTCTCAATCACATCAGTTCAAAATCTACGTTCTTGAAACGAAGAGTAGAGCAGCACAGAGCCCGAGGGCGAGGCCAGCGGCCTACTGCTCGTTTCAAGATCGTAGACTTCAGCCTGACCTGAACTCCTTCGCTCGCGTCGCGTCAAGGCATTAAAGAGCAATCTGAGTCCTGCCTGCCTAGCTTTGACGCCTCCATGGAACCGGAATGGTAACAAGTAAAAGGCTGTCACGGAAGTAGAAGCTCAGCAACGCCTGCAGGGAGGGAGGGAGGGAGGGCGCATCTGATGCCTCGCGGTGGATGGATGAGAAGGTCAAAAGCCCCGGGTCTCGATCGTATGATGCCGATAGAAACGATGCTGACGACGAGGCGGGCAGTGGGCCTCATGAATCGACGACATTCCGAATGGAATTTTGCACTCATGGCATGGCGGCCGATTTGGGGTCTGAGCCCGGCCCTGTAAAAATCCTCAGGTGCTGTAAAAACATGCCATGGGAAAAGCTGGACTCACGGCGCGAAGGACAAGCCGAGAGAGAGAGAGAGAGAGAGAGAGAGAGAGGTGAGAATCGCCAATTACCCAGCCCGTCGCTGCTGCAGCAGCTGCTGAGACTCAGAAGTTTGGAAAGGGGGTCAAACAAGTCGGAAAGCAAGCATGCACGCACGAACGGGAGGGAGGAAGGAAGGAAGACTGCGCAGACACAGAGAGAACATCCGAGCCCGCAGCTGCTGCTGAAGGTCGACGATGGAGGTGAGGTCATCCTCGACATCTCACGCGCGCCCTCGGAGCGATGCCTCGCATGTCAGCCGGAACCTCAGCTTTTCCATACGACAGAGTCAAACAAAGAGACGAGCTGAAGTGCAATGGGACGGAACATCGGACACCTGGAAGCGGGTGACAATATTGCAGTAGCAGCAGCTCGCACGCACAATTGCGAGGAAGCAAGCAAGCGCGCAGCTCAGAGTCCGGAGTGAGGCGGGGCCGAGGTGAAGGAACTTGTGAAGATGAGGTGCTCAGAGCCACATGTATAAATAAGCCGATGGACGTGACAGTAGGGCCAAGCGATGGGCAAACCATACGATTATGAGTACTAGTGAAGAAGCAGTCGACGCCCGTGGGGATCATGATCATGATCATAGTCTCTCTCGGACATGAGTGTGCTTACAGGGAGGGAGGGAGGGAGATGGAACGTGTCCAGGCGGTGAGGGGGCAAGTGGAAGAACGCAGGGCAACTCGAGCTCCGAGCCATTCTCGAGGCCGGGGTGGGGGCGGGGTGGGGGCGGGGCGGGGCAGGGCAGGGCAGGGCGGCGAGGGTCAACAACCATCCATCCACCAGTGCGAGCATGCATGCGCATCCGGATGCGCGACCAGAAGAAGCCTGAAAACGCTGGCCGCACGAGCCCGAGCCCGAGCTGGAGCCCGAGCTGCCAGCAGCGACGACGAGAGGCGGTTATGGTGGTATTCGGTTCGAGGGGCATGGAAATTTATTCACATTGCGCCGATGAAAACATCTGCCCAAAAGGGCCCGGATCTTCAGTATGTTTTCTCGAGATGTGCTTCAAAAGGCATTAGGGTAGAAGCCAAAGCTGGTACCTCTGAAAGGCAACAGGACCGGTGGCCTGTAAGAGTCAGTAGAAGATAACCTTGACGCTAAAGGAGCCAACTCTAAAGCTGATATAATTGAGAGCGGAACAAGGCTGTCAGTGAGTGCTTCAGGCGTAGATGACTTTGAATCCAAGTAAAAAGGTGCTGGAGCTGGAGCAGCAGCAGGAGGAGGAGGAGTAGTCGATGGGGGACATATCTGGCAGCTGAGAGGGGGTCACAGAAAGCATCAGCGGGGATGGCAAATTGGCCCGGACCTGCTGGGCTTGAGCGACATCGAGATCTGGCAGGGGACCGGGCGTTCGACTGATGATTGCTCAGGACTGAGATCCGAGTCTGGCATCGACTAGTCACGAACGAATCAATCATGATCCGATGTAGCTCTCGCGTAGAGGAAATACGTGATAGGGTCATCGATAGCGTACATGCTGCTAGCTACCATTGACCATCTACTGCGCCGGTATGTCCTGTTCCATACCAGGGAGAGTAAACTTTGATTTCTTGCTTGGCTCCGAAATATTTTGTTCGGAGTAGGCACGACCTCAAGGCGTCCACTACTTGCAGAAAATCGGGTATATCTGGGGCAATGTGTTTCTTGTACACTTCAAAAGCAGCAACGAAAGCGCTGATGATTCTTCTCCTATGGTTTAGCTCGGGCAAACTTTTTGCATTATTGATTGCCCCATGTTTCTGCGGAAACCGTATCGGTTCGACAATGTGTTAGGTGAGCCTGTATGCCGCAATTGTTTTCCGCCAAAGCGCTGTGTCTACTCCCCTCTTTTGTAGCAGTGGGCCCTCTCAAGTTGCGCCCCTCCCCCCCTGGCCATGGATCCAGGAGCTCGAGTCCGCCATGCCCCTCCCTTTCCCATCACCACCACGTCGACCCTTAAAATACTACGCACGTCCCGGGCCGACGGCAGGACCGGCTGGAGCTGGGTTCGAACCCTTGGGTTCTGGAGGCGCAGGGCGACGCTGCCTGGCGTCTGGTTCCCGGCGCCTCGGCTGTCTGTCTGGCCGGCAAGGGATGCTTTGCCGACGGGGCTGCAGCTGCGCCGCGCTTGGCTTGGACCCATGCGCTTTGACTCGCGCAGGTCCGGCAGTCCATGGAACGACCGACCGACCGAACGACAGACGCCCGAGCGGGCGCGCTCATGGCCGCGCCAGCCTACGCGTAGACGGGCCCTGACGCTCCAGCACAGCCTCGTGATATTTCCCAACTGCTCGAATTATGCCGTGAATCAGATCGCCGATTCTCTCCAGCTTTTCGGTGCTCGATGGCGCCGGGCTCCGAGTCGCGCCGGTTCCAGGAGAGGGCCGGGGCGGGAGGAGGCCAGCGGGATCGGGCCACCGGCTTTTGCCGCAACCTTTGGGAGGGCACTGATTGAAGCGGGGGCAGAAGATGCAGCGGTGCGCTTGGCGCCGGTCATCGTCCGTGGCAGGAGCGCTTCAGAGCCTGTCGTTCCGACCCCGTCGACCGGCCACTGGCAGCGGCGGAGCGGCTCGCCCCTTTAAGTAGCGCGCTCGTGGCCATCAATGCCGGTGCCGTGCAGGTGAACGGTCCAGTGCCCCGTCACCGTCGACGCACGTGAGCAAAAGCAGCTCCAGCTCCTCGGCGCCTCGAGCGAGGGCCCTGGCTGGTCTTACTCGCGAAGCGGAGCACGTGATGGAAAGCCGAGACCCAAAGAGATCGAGGCCCGACCGGCCCGCGCGGTGCACAGGCTCCGGCGCCTGGCTCCAGGCGGTGATCATCGCGCCAGCCCGCCCGACAAGAAGCCCAAGCCGGGGCTCGAATGCGCCGAGGCGCTGCGCCGAGCGAGCGGCTGCAGCTCACAGGCCCCGCGAGCATTCGCTGCAGGCACGACGGTGAGATTCGTGTCGCCTTGTGCGATCGGCGAGAGGAGAATTGCAGGTCGATGGTGGGGGAGGGCCGGTGACCGAGATCGCGAGGTGCGTCACCGTAGAGTCGGACACGGCGATCGCTTTCCTTCTTTCCTTCTTTCTTCTTTCTCGGTCCCGGAGCTCGGGCTGTTGGTGTTCGTGCATAATTCGAGGGAAATGCTGCAGACGGTGCATCTGTAGCACTATCTTCGTATTGAGCATGCATTCATCGCACTCTGAGCATGTAAGCTGTTCGCAGCTTTTCAGAGCTCGTGTCCCAACGTGGAAACTGCCTGCACTCGTCCTCGTACTCGCTTTCGCTTGGACCTACGCGCCTAAAGGAAGTTTTCGCATTCACGCAGTCACATGCTCGGACGTACCTTCGGACTCACCTGAAGGTGAGTACGAGTCGACTGCGAAGTCAAAGGATCTCGTTGCTCGAATACCAACATCATCGACACCAGTTCATGTTTCCACGACACTTTCCGCTTGGCTGTTAGTCGGGGCAGGAATCATGCAGCGGCGAGAGGTTTTACACCGCACTCGGTCTCAGTCTGCTGTCAACGTGACGGAGCGGCAGTCGCTACATGTAGGCAGACCGGATCGATCATCGAGTCTGCCTGCAAACAGACTGTGCATGCATATGGAGCTCGGAGTGCTCACTAACGCAGAGTAGCTAGATCTCCACAGGTACAGCTTTCACTGGTTTCAAGCATGCGCGCATCTCTTCTGTTCGGTGAGATGCTAGAAAAGCAAACTGGAATCAAACGTCGGCAGAAATCTAATGTTTTGTATTACGGACTCTATGAATCCATCTGTCTCTTGTACATCTATACACCATAAGTGTGGACTGTGCAAACCATGGCCATGGCAGTTCAACCACCGTGGTCTGGACAATTTACTTTCTCTCACTCTTTCCTTTCCTTTCTCTGTCTCTGTGTCTCTCTGGGATTTTAGATGACTCGAGGAGAGACTGCACGAAAAGAGCATGAATGATGAGATCGTGACCGGAAAGAGGAGAAGAATGTCTTCAAAGGTTGATAGTGCTGTATGCTTGCGGCGTAGGCCCTCTCGTTGCTATCCTAAGGCCCTTCTTGAGGATAGCAGTGAGGGAGGAAGGAGCCGGCAAGTGCGAGCGATTTAAATTGGAGAAGATGAGTGAGTGAGTGGGTCCGAGCCTACGAACACATGTCGACGACTTCCAAAGTCCCGAGCTGTGTATACGTCAGTGATTCCAAAGGCCCTCAATCATACCGGTGGATCCACGGAAACAACGACTGCTTTTCAGTAGTCTGCTCGCAGTCTCGCTTCAGAAATCGTCATCCTCAAAACCACCCACGCATGAATAATGTAGTGTCAACTTTGTTGCATCCTGAACAGATTTTGACTTGGATCTCCAAAGTACGGCATACATCGATCTGATGCGTCGATACCCCACGACGATTTGGATAACATCTCCGAAGTACCGATAAAGACCTCTAGACTAGGAAAGCTCGTGCTGATGGCATAGCCCTTTGGGTATCAGAATTACGGCACTTTTCGAAAATTATTCATTTCGAGCTAGGCAATGCCATGCAGAAAACCGTGACTGAGTGGTGGGCAATGAAAGATGTAGAGTGAGAACAAAAGAGGTTCGATTACATCGATTTGTACGTGAGGCGTCCCACAATTCACGGAGATGCTGCTGATGCCACGGTATGGGACATTTGGGCAGTTCAATTTCTCCCCATAATAATGCATAAGCAGCAGCAGCAGCGATCTGACGATCCGACGATCCGACGATCTGACCAGTGGAGCACGAGTCCGAATAGACAATCAACAGACAAAGCTATCACCAAGAAGCAGTAAACATATGCTTATAATCAGAGGGAACTCATTTCTGGATTGGATCAGAATCCGAATCTTTCGACAGGTCTCAGACTCTGAGACTGCTATAAGTCTCTAGCACTTGCTTCATTCTTCTGTTCCAGCTCCCTGGCCTCTCGTGTATGACATCGCAGATGTCAAAGCGCAGCAGTGAGCTTCACGGTGGATCAGGCAATTTCACTCCATATGCCGAACTCTGCGCAGTCAGGAGAATGGATGGAGAAGATCTTGCAGTCTTTCACCTGGCAGTATAAGTGAAAGGAATTGAGTGCAGCAGATCCACCAACACACCGTGATCGTATCTTCCAATATACTTTTACATATTTATCTCGAGAACCCACAGCTGGGTTGACAGTTGATTTCTGAATCAAGTCACTGACAGGTACAGTTGGTTTTCAATGCCAACGTCCGAGTGGTATGTCATTGCAAACCGCTAGCCAGGTCAACAGTACGCTGAACTGCATCGTTTGGCAACCAAGAGGAATGCAGATTGTGATCGCGTGGTATGTCATTGCAAACCGCTAGCCAGGTCAACACTACGCTGAACTGCGTCGTTTGGCAACTAAGAGGAATGCAGATTGTGATCGCGTGTGATCTTTTCTTTTTTGACGTGCAAGGATAGCGCTGCCTGTATACTGCTAATCGACAGTCTGGTTTTTCGGTAGGCAATAGGATCCAGTAGACTATCCTTGAAGAGCTGTGGAAGGGTAGTACAAACCTGCAAAAATCAGACAAAGTCTGTGATCACAGAAAAGTACATGAATGGACTTTGAGGTTGTCCTTTGCGTTCAGACTGATAGCTTTATTAATTTAAATAAATTTATCTTTAAAATCCACGTCCAGTCAGGATCCAAGAGCTGAAGATGATTTTTTAAATATCGGAGGCCTTGAAAAGCAAGAGCTATCGAATGGCTTTAATAATAACAAAACCAACCACAGGGCGGATGGATCCAATGTCAGATACCTGTTGTAGTTTCTATTATATAATATCAGGGTATATCGTTTACTGAAAATGCATCTCACTGGATGGTCTTCAACTGTCGAATAAAGGAAAACCTTCACCTATTCTGAATCTCCTAGATTTATTACATCTCTGGATCTTTTGAAATTCTTCGCTATTCTTATATTAATTTCCGCCTGGTGTTCGTCAACTATTTTCAAGTTGAAAAAGAATGTTCTGCTTTGCTGTATCCCAGCTCGATGTGGGGAATTGCATGAATGTAGAACCTTTGTGTCTGACCTTCTTAACCTGCAGTATCGTAAGTACTCTTTCGATCATGACTTCATCAGCTATGGAAGAATCCAGTAAGCTATCTTGGTTTAGTCCATTAGCGGAGTTGTCTCTTGTTCAGACCTTTCGGATAATTTGACCGCCTTCATGCAGCGGTTATGTCCGATTAGATCGAAAGTCGTTGATGGCATCACCGTGCGTAGTTTGGAACAGGAAATAGTACTCGTCCAAACACTGATTGACGAAAAGTGTATTGTTTTATTATGGTATTATGGATTTAGCAATAAACATTATTAACCTGTAGAGATCACAATAATTTGAGCAATAATATACGTTCAGATTGGTCCAGACAAGCATGCACCACAATCAGCATCTCCATAGTGTAACACAAGTGCAAAATTCACTTTGCATTGCGCGTAAGGACATTACGAAAGAAAGCAGAAGAAAAGCATTCGTTCTTTGAGTGCATATGACTGAGCTCGACAGCCTACACTCTGATGAAATATAATATTAAGTCTGAAACATATGAACATCATGAAAGAGTTAATTTATATACATAACAATATGATGGAGATTTAACATAAAAAGACAGCGATGATTGAGAACGACGAATTAGGCATGACCACTTCGATAATGTCAGCGTGGAAATAATTATGGAGAAAGCACTTTTTATGTTCACCACACACATGTGTATGGACTAAAAGGAAATCAAAGCCTTTAGTTACAAAAGGGAATGGATCATTGTCATATGATTTCATGACAGCACAAATACGTTTTAAAAGAAACGTCATTATTTGCAACAAAAGCTGAGAATGTCTGCATGAATTAAACCTTTAATTTTTACTTTCTCCTGTTGGGACACCAGGATCAGTGTCAGACCAAAGAAATTGCAAGTGTCAAAATCAAAGCTATAATCATTTCCTCGATTTGATTGCTCGGCTTGGTTATCTCAATGTCTTGTCTGTCTAGGTTCTTTCTCAAAATTAAAGAACAATTGCTTTTCAAATCACGTCATGCAGTGCATAAATTCATGAATATACGTAATCAGAATATTTTTTCTTGAATATTACATATGGTCTAACGAAGCTTCAGTTTTTGTGTTGGAACTAGTGATTAATCAAAGATATAACGGACAAGCTTGATATGGTTACTAAAATTTTGCATATATTTTTAATAACAAAATTCTTCCTACATGAGAGAGTCTTTTTCTTCGATCAGTCACAGTTGAAAATCTCACTAAATTCTAAAGTTTCTTTAAACTTTCAAAGTTTTAAGTAAATACCAACACATCCAAACTGATAATGAGAGCACCCGGTATATTTTATCACTTCAGAAGAATATAAGTTTGAAATTTCAATTTCAAAAATAATACATTTGGAAGTAATTTGGAGGTCAGAGTAATAAATTAAACTTTGTAGGTTAGGTGAAGATTTACATTTATATATTTTTCGATTTCCTGGCAATCAAAATTAGAACTGGTTCTTGCATTTTAAAAGATTCTCCATTCTTAAACCCGTGATCTTTTTCTCTATAATATTGCTCTTATCTTATGTGCTTTAAAAAAAAGATTATTCAATTAATTATAAAATTTAAGTATTCGAATAAAGTACATCCATAGAAAGTTATTATAAATATTTTCGTAAATATTACTTCAATCTATCTCTGAATTAATTTTGAGAATTAATTCGTCCAATGAAATATGTTTTATTAGAAACAGTAATAGATCGATTTCAGTGATGATGTGATTAGAACTAGAATTTGGAAAAATAACTTATAATCAACATATATTACACATCTTTCTGAAATATCTTTAAATCATCAATAAAATCTCCTTAACTTTTTGTGCAAAAAGTATTTTTATGTTTCAAGGTAGCATAAAAAGTAGTTGCGATATCTTGATTTTTAATTAGAATAAATAAAAAAATTGTAGAGCTTAAATAAACACTGAAAGACTATTCCATTATTTTCTCTCTTAGTTCTATGACTTTGGTTTGCAGAAACTCTGCTTTGAAATAATGATTTACATCATATCTTTTAGATTTGGATTCATTTATTTTTCTAATTCTTCATATGTGAAGAAAATTAGTTTCAAACTTATTTCGTAACAAGAATAAATTTAGGTATTTTTTTAATGTTAAAGAAGGAACAATCTAAAATAGGGGTTGTCTAATTAGGACAGCTTGTCTTGGTCTAGAGGTTGGAGTTTTATGGACCTCATATTCTAGCTTAGATAAATTCTTTAGAAAGACTTTTGACCTTGCTTCAAGAACTCCAGCAATAATAACGCTAAGAAAGTTATTATAGTGGACCATCCTAGTTTTCATAATCAGCCATTAGAACCTTTCTATGTATCGAACAAATGAAAAGTTGAGAATCTGATGTATGATTACGTGAAACCAAACTAGTACGATATTCGTTTCCAATTAGTTTTGTGTTATAATTGTGTAGCGCAGATGCTAATGGTAATGAGTATTTGATTGACAGTTGAAGAGAGGCTATGGAGTGGTACATCTCGTGAGTTATTAGTTAAATTCGAGCTATGTTCACGAAAGACTCGTGTCATAATCATTAGACATTCAATGAGATTGATCTGGACCACTTGTGGAATGATGGTTGGAACGATTGATAATGGTCGTTAAATGAACCTTAAAATATCCATCGGTGGTCGTTGGGTTGAAGATAGAGAGAAGATTCAATCCGTAGGACCAAAATTTCACTATATGAAAACTGGAAGGTAAAAATAGCTCGGGAGATCATCTAGTTCTGGCAAGCTCAGATATGTACTACAATGTATGCAAAGCG